ACCTACCGTAGTGCACTAAAAGATCCAAACTGGCATGCTGCTATGTGTGATGAATAAAATGCCTTGATAAAGAATGACACATGGGAATTAGTACCCCCCTCCCCCTCCCAAAACCTCATCACCGGTAAATGGCTCTTTCGACACAAATTTGGCCCCTCAGGTGAGTTATCCAGGTACAAGGCCCGTTGGGTGGTTCGTGGTTTCAATCAACGTTTTGGCGTTGACTATGACGAGACCTTCAGCCCCGTTGTCAAGCCTGCCACCGTCCGTATTGTCCTCAGCCTTGCTCTGTCTCGCGGGTGGCCCATTCATCAACTTGATGTCAAAAATGCGTTCCTTCATGGTCAGCTACAGGAGACCGTTATGCCACCCAGCCTTTGGGGTTTCAAGATCCCACTCGCCCTCACTATGTTTGCAAACTCAAGAAGGCTCTCTACGGGCTTAAGCAAGCCCCCCGCTCTTGGTTTCACAGGTTTGCAGGCTTCATACAGACTATTGGTTTCAGGGGATGTAAAGCCGACACTTCTCTCTTCATTTTCTCTCAACCCATGGGCACGGCCTACCTGCTCCTATATGTTGATGACATTGTACTGACGGCATCCTCCACGACACTTCTCCAGAGTATCATTCAGCAGCTTAAGGCTGAATTCTCCATGACAGACATGGGCGACCTGCATTTTTTTCTCGGGATCAATGTGCATCGTACAGACACCGGCCTCTTCCTCCACCAAACTCAGTTTGCCCATGACATTCTTGAGCGGGCAGGGATGGTCTCCTGCCGCCCCATCTCTACCCCGGTGGACACGAAGGCGAAGCTATCTACCACAGCTGGCACGGCTCTTTCTAACCCCTCTTTTTACAGGTCTATCGTTGGTGCTCTGCAGTATCTTACTTTCACTCATCCTGACATCACATATGCTGTTCAGCAGCTCTGCCTACATCTTCATGCTCCACGTGATGTTCATCTTACTGCCATGAAGCGTGTCCTACGCTATCTCAGTGGCATCGCCACTCACGGGATCCAGTTGACACGTTCCGCCACAGACTACCTACAAGCTTATTCCGATGCTGATTGGGCTGGCTGTCCCGATACTAGACGCTCCACGTCGGGTTACTGTGTCTTCCTGGGCGATAACCTTGTTTCCTGGTCATCCAAACGCCAGGCCACCACCTCCCGTTCGAGTGCCGAAGCCGAATATCGGGCAGTTGCCAATGCCGTAGCAGAGACTTGCTGGATCCGGAATCTTCTTCTTGAGCTACAGCAACCACTTCGTCGCGCCACAATAGTCTTCTGTGACAATGTTAGTGCTGTTTACCTATCATCTAATCCGGTGCAACATCAGCGCACCAAGCACGTCGAGGTTGATATCCACTTTGTACGCGATAAAGTGGCGCTTGGGCAGATCAAAGTACTTCATGTTCCTTCATCTTCTCAGTTTGCCGACATCTTCACGAAAGGACTGCCCTCCCTCTTATTTCTTGACTTCAGAGAAAGCCTGGGTATCCGACCCCCAGCGCATCCGACGTAGCCGGGAGCATGTTAAATATATAAAATATATTTAATATTATTGTATTATGATTTGTTTCCATACTTGTATAGTTTCCTAGAATATCTCTCCTACCATAACTAGGATTGAGACTCTTGCATATATACATGTATTCCTCTCATAATTTAATCAATGAAAATTCCACTTCTTCATGATGTAGTTTTAAAATTTATAAATTTTATTTTTTTAATTTTACACCTATCGTCAAATAAATTGAATTAAAAATAAAATCGGTCAAATCTCGTAAACAGAAACGGAAAGAACGTTTCTGGACGGAGTATTTTACAAGGATCCCTTCATTAATTAATAATAACAATTATTATCAAATGGATGAAGTAATTCAAAATTGACTAATACAAAAAGTACACTCTTCACTAAAAGTTGTGATTGGGAGAAATTTTGTTCCGCTGTCGCTTTTAAGCTAAGTGTTCCAGTCACCACGGCACCAATAGATTGGTTTGGCCATTATTGATTCATCTGAAAGTTTACGCCATTTTCTCCTTAGTATAGTAGCCGCTGTTATCATGTCACGTTCGTTTGGTTGATTTATTCTTCAATTAATAATTGTGAAGACCAAAGAATTTACACTTACCCTACGATTGGTTCAACAAATTTGGAAGGGAAGAGAAAGAGATGAAGAGGAGAAATAATTCTTTTTTTTTTGTATGAGAGGAAAATAAAATGAGTCATGGAGTCAATAGGATGTATTAAGAACAGGAAAAAGAAAGTTGATCACATTTTAATGAGAAAAATGAGAAAACTCCATTTTTTTTCTTTATAAATTCCTTGAACCAACAGAGTGTTAGGGACAGATAAAGCATGTCATTTGTTTGAGGATGGAAGGAGTATTAGGCATGCATCCAAAAAAAATTCTACTTTAAATTCATGAAAAACAAAAATTCATTTGGGAATAGCCTTTTTGTTAGTGTTAGGCCACATCCTCATCAATTTATTATTTTACTTATTACTTATTCTTATTGAAATTAAATCATATCAAACATAGCTTCAAATATAACTACATTTACATCCGACTAGACCATATCAGATTAGGGATGGACACGGTACCGGTACGAAACCGTTACCAGCGGTTCCGCCACCGGACATGGAGAAGACGGTACCTAGTATCGTTACCAGAACCGGTGGATACGGGTCCGGTTCCAGGTCGTAATTTTTGGTACCGGAACCACCGGTACAAGTACCAATTTGGTTTTTTTTGTCAGCAACTTTCCTCCTGGTCAACATTTTTTGAATTGTCGGAATATTAAATGTAATTATTTTTGTAATATTCATTTTTCATTATCTAAATAACAACTACATTCTTAGAAATTACAATTCATACGAGAACTTAAATTATTTTACACTTATAGATTTACAAATTACAATTACAAAAAAAACAAGGGAACCGCTGGAATCGGCCCGGAACTGGTACCACAACTGCTGGTACGGGGACCGGCGCCGGCACCGTCCAATCCACCACCGGTAACGGGCTCATGGGGTGGCAGTACCGAAACCGACGATTTTGGAAGCATACCGTGTTTACCCCATGATCAGATCAGAATGTATTCCAATCAGATCAAAATCTGTCAGATCGGGTGAAAAGAACACGATCTTACCCTTTTGAAATTTTGTTTTGGTATGATTTACTTTGAAAATTCTACAAGATACACTAGTGGAGTATATCATTTTCAAAATGTTACATTTAGATGTTGAAGCCAAATCCAATAGAAGCTACAAACGGCTATGTTCGTTTGGCATTAGATCTGAATGTGAGAATATAATATTGGTCCATTTGTGATACCACCATGCTCCCTCCTACCTGAATGTGATTCCTACTTCCTAAAACCACCCCCCACCCCCCCCCCCCCCCGCCCGCCCGCCGGCCGCCTAGATATCCCCCTCTTATGGAGTAAAAATTCCAATTGGTAATTAAGTAATGATCACTATGATAGTATGTTATAAAACTAATGATAAATGCATTATTTATAAAAAAAATAATCGTTTTTCGTATGCGACCTCTTGAACTTTTCTACTCAATACACTTGTTTCTACTCAATACCTAGTGTTTTTATAACACAAGGTTAAAAAATCAATAGTTTTAAATCCAATAAGATTACTTTCATGTGGTTAAAGAGTCACGTTATTTTTTTAAGAATATGGAAAGAATTAAACTTCTTCTATACAAAACTTAGAGTCATTTTCTTACATATCTTAAACACAACTCATGTATGACACAAAGAATTGAATTTTATGATCTATATGAAAAATGCGCCTTCAAGGCGAAACCAATCTAATATATTACATACATGTCTACCCATTCAACTTTTTTAAAAGAAATCACCCTAAATACGAATAAAACATAAGTCATATCCTCAAAATAGTAGCTCAAACTTAAACTCTTTTAAATAAGAGTAATTAATCAATTCAATTTTTGTTTGTATTTGCTCTTGTCGCACAACCTCTTCCGATTGAAGCACGACTCCCTTCCTCGATTGCATCGACAACACGCGCTCCATCTTTGATCTTCTTCCGCCATCGCCACCGCCACCCGCGCACATGTCATCTTTGTTGCGCCGCCATCGCCCCCACCTTCAAAGATCTGCCACCCAATTGCAGCACTCAACGCTGATTTGCCGTCGTCAATCCCCTTCCTCAATCCATTCAATTGTGCCATCGTCACCAAATTGCAGCCCTATAGCCGCTGCACCCCCACTCTCAGATTTGTCATCGCGCGCATGCCACGCCGCCCACCTCCATTTGTCTCCCTCAAAGCCTTTGATTTCAAAAGTGAGCGGATTCCCTCTTGATCTTTAATTGAATTTTATTTTCTTTGAATTTTGTTTAGATGCTTTGTGATGAGGATTTGGTGTCAGCACAACAACGATCCACCACTATTGAGGATGGTGGGTCATGCGGCCGCCATAATGGTGGCCGTGAATGGGGTGATGATTGCCAGCAATCGTGTAGGGCATTGGGGTGATTTGGCATCATGTATTTGTACATTTCGCATCGTGACATTATATATGAGCAAATATGGTATTATGCATTGTCATATGTGCTAATATGCATTATCATCTATGGTAATATGCATTGTCATATGTCATTATATGTTGTCATGTTTGGTATTAAATCACATTATGCCTTTTTTGACAATGTATAGAATGTGGCACTGCAGTCAAAAATAGTGCAAAGTGTGATGGTGGTGTCAATGGTTATGGATGGCTACTCAATTTTCATGTAGCGGCAGACGCGGCTCCAGGGCGACACCCCGCAGCAACAAGTGGCACAGTGACACGATGGGGGCGGAGCAAGGCAATGGTAGGGACGCAAAAAGTGATAGCATCAGTACATAGTTCTGGCGTTGACAAAAGTTCGCGTTGAGTCGCTGCTGAATTTTTTTATTTTTGGAGTTACAATCAGGGCTGAGTTTGCGACAACCGACAGGAGGTTGAGACTTGAGGCTTTGTTCGCATGAGCTAAATTAATTTTTTTTATTAATTAAGTCAATTACTCCTATTTCAAGAAGTTTAAGTTTGAAATCCTATTTAAACGACACTCCGTATGACATACATTTTACCCCAAGTTTGGTCATTCTCCCTTATGTAAACACTCTTTTTGTATAAATAAAAAAAATACCCGGAGTACGAAATATGATTGAAATTGGCATCTAATATTCAAATTGAACTCTGGTATAAAAATAAACCTAAAAAACATGACTTTATGGGAGAGATGAAATATAGTACTCCAATATAATAATAACAAGTCCGTACAATCTCTCATAATCTAGCAAACTAGACCTCCCCAAGATCGCCAAGAAAGAACATGTGTCCAAGCTTATATCTACATAAAGACTCAGTCAGTATTTGGTGCATAAACACTATTAAGAAACCATATAACAGGATCAAGAATGCATAAGAATAACAACCACATGAACAAAACAAAAAATAAAATAAAATAGAAAAAGTGAAGTAGATCTAATATCTGAAACCAGATCCCTGTTGCGGCGGTGGAGCTGGGGGCATCCGATTGGGAGTTCGGCGGCCGTTGGAATTGGACCGCGAAGTTGTATCGCCGTTTTGGACTGGCTCCCCGTATCGACGGCTATGATCGCCCGATCCAGACCTAGAGTAGGCAGGGCCGCTTGCGCCTGCTGCTGAATCAAACGCAACTCTCCACTCATCCCCAGCTGCCTGTCCTGTGGTTCTTGGGCTTTCTGCACCCAGAATTCAAATGAGTCAAGTGGTTAAGCGGGTGTTTCTCTGTACATATAAACAGTTTTTAACTTATAAGTCAGTGCATGACATGTTTCTCTGCACTTATAAGCTACTCCCTCCGTTCCACAAAACCCTTCCGGTTTTGACTTTGGAGAAAAAATAAGGAAAGTGTAATTTTGGTTGACTTTCCAATTTTGCCCCTAATGTGATGGGAAAAAGTAAGGTGTGATAGTTGGTCATTAGTGAAAAAGTATGATATGATAGGTAGGATATGAAAAAGTAGGGGTAAAAGTAGTTTTTTAATAGAAGGTGGATGTGTTTTGTGGAAAGCAAAAAAACGAAAGAGGAAGGGTTTTGTGGAACGGAGGGAGTACTATTTTTGTTTTTCCATTTTGACCGGATTATTTACAAAACTATCCCTCACCATTTATGAATCTTCCCAAATAACTTATCTATCATTTAAGTCATTTTACTCCCACGAAAGAATATTTGTCTTATAAATAGCTTATAAGTTAGAAATTGTTTATCACGATTAAGCTAATAAGCACCTCCTAAGTAATCGAGGTTACGGAATGAAGATTCCTAGCTTTCCATGAGACTGGAAATGGAAAGTAATACATTCTATACACCTTTGTTTGGCAAGAGGATTACAGAGGGGATAATTCCATTCTATTCCACAACTTATTCCATTACCTGCTTCACCACCAATGGAGTAGGAGGCAGCTGCTGCTCGATTATCATGAATACTTAGTTGCCTAGTGAGTTTTGAAAGAAGAGAAGATTGTTTCTCAAAGCGTTGTCTCCTCTGTTTAACATTCTGGTCCTCCTGCAGCAATTCTTCAATCTTTGCGGAACTCCTGGCGCTACAATACAACATAGATAAATCAAACTAAATCTTAACGTAGCATTATAAAATATATGAAGTAAACTACAAAAAAACACTTAACACTCCCTTCGTTCCACTGCTTTTGTCCCATTTTACCATTTTTGTCCGTCTCCTTATTTTTGTCTCATCCCATATTTAGTCATATTTGTGTCCTTCACAATCACTTTTTAACATCAATATCAACCACACAAACCTACTTTTCAAAATTTCGGTTCCACTCCCCCATGTCCCAAAAATAATGGGACAAAGGAAGTAGAAAACTTCTGTTGTTTATAGTGGGACTGCCTCTTCGTATTTATCAATTTTGGTTGACAAATTTTCTGTGATCTGTTTTTTGTCTGTCCAGCTATGAAATATATGCACATTAATTATTTTTTCTCCAATTTGACCTCTATATACTCAATTTGCCAAGTATCAAATGTTTTGATTAACTTATAATCTCGATGCATTTTCTTGAACTGACGGCCTAGATAGATACATAGGATGGGAGAGAGTAATCTATATCTCGCTTCTGTTTATTACTGCATAGTTAATCAAACTACCACTTTTGCAAGTCTATAAATAGCCAAATAATCAAAGAGGGCCACTTGTGACCAATTTGTAGAAACATAAAATAAAATAATGAAAAACTAAAACAGGCTGAAATAAAGAGATACGGAGTGTTTGAGATTGAAAAAGTATTAATGCCCACTATCTCCGATTTCACTTGTGCAATATTAATTATTAACTGAAAATAGGTCGGATCTATCACAGGCATCACGTGGTGTAATTCTAAGTAATAATGGGAATTCGCTAGAAATAACAGTACAGCATACCTGATAGAACTGTACAATTTATTTAGCATGTCTTCTTTGGCCTTTTCTACTTGACAAAGAACAACTGCCTGAAAACCCAAGATCACACCATGTGGGCATTAGATGGATGTGCAAGAGATACAAGTCCTATAGAAAAAAAACAATTCACTCTTCGGCAAAACTGACTTTAGGGACATTTGCTGCAAGACTGTTTAGAACTGCTTCAACGTATCCTCGCACTTCCTGCGCCATCCATCGAAGCTCTTCTTCAGGGTCAGCAGGTCTTCGAGTCATTGTTTCCTATAAATGATCAATTTGCACAAAAAAATTTTAAGTGTTAAACTTGTCTGAGATGCCAGCAGCTAGTGACTGGATTAATTTGATATATGCAAAAAAATTTCAAAACTGCCAATCGGAGTAGGAGTTAATTGACAAGTAGCATTTGGAAATAACACTTAAACAACAAGAATAACTGACCGAGAATGAATGCAAATAAAGCATCTTATATTCAACTAAAAAAGACTGGTAATCCTGTTCTGATTTGTTTGTCCCTTGAACTATTCGCAGGATTTATCCACATATAAATCATTCACTTACTTTCTATAAATATGGTTTATCATTTTCCTCAGTTCCATAGAAATTTAAATGCACAGACAAAATATGGGAATTTAAATAATAAATTAAAATTTACTAACATTAAAATGTCTCTTAATTCAAAAAAATCCCACTTTGGGACATAAGACGCGAAGAAAGCTACTATCGAGATAAACTATAAAGTATAAACACAAAAGCAATTTAAGAGCATGGAAGCATCTTTATTGATACTCACAAGAGAACTGTCAGAAAGGCTTTGCCTCATCATAGGTGCAGATTCTCCCTTCACTTGACCTCCTTTAGAACTTATCACATTTCGCAATTTGTTTAACCATTCAGATTTATCAGCCAAACTTTCAGCCTTTAAGAGAACAGCGCTATGAGCTGCAAAACAGTAAGTGTTCCATTTCTGAATTCGTAAGTGATTCTGAACGCATTGAATCGCACACACACAAAATAAAAGATAATACGAGTAATAAGACAGAATAAGAAAAAAAGATTCTACAAATAGTCAATTAAGAAATACGGAGGACCTTTCAAAACAGTTTTATACGGAACCCGACTCGTGAGCTTGAATGTAAGACTAGGTCCTTTTCCAACATCAGGACCATTGGCCTTCTTGCTTTTGGAACTTTTTGCAGGAGGTTCTTCTTCATCCGACACTTCTTCAAGATTGCATTCCTGAAAATCTTAAACATATAGTTTAAGTCCAGCAAAAAGACAACTAGAACAATCCACAGATTATTGAGTAATAATTAGTTCATATTTACTCTCAACATGAAAAACATGGAAGAATGGTGAACTTCTTTACCTCCAAGGTTATGACACCACGAAAATTTCGCTCTTCTTGTGCTTTGGTGTAACCAAGCTGTACAAGACATTTTTATTTTGACAATGAATATATTTATAGCAAATCGAATTTAGTTTGACATTAAATGTGTGGAGCATTAAATACACAATATGAGAATCTCAAATGTACTACATTTTTCTCATCTTATTGAACAGTTGAAAATCTCAAGAACTGACCTTTCCAGTTTTTTCATTCAAAACAAACCAACGCCGACTCCAGCCATTAGTTTTGGCACTTTTCTTCAAAATGAATCCTGTCAATCAAACGTAATGAGAAATTACACAAAACAACATTCGACAAGCACTAGACCTAATCCTTTTCTTGCACTTCAATAAAAATAAATTGGGATCATAATTTGATTACTCCCTCCGTCCACAAATAAACTTTACGTTCACTATTCACAGGGTCAAACTTTATTCACTTTGTTGGCCTATTTTCGTCACCCATTTGATAAAATAATATAGTCATGTCACCTCTAGTTTTGTAGATCTTTTGATATTATTTTTTAATATGTAATTTTTATTTTTTAATTCTACACCATTTTTCATATAAAATGATTTGAGAATAACTTCAGTCAAACATCGTAACGTGTAATGTAAAGTTTATTTGTGGACGGAGGGAGTATAAAAGAACAAAGAAAAATCAACTTCACACATGGGGGCCCTTTGAGGTGGTAGAATTCACTAACGTGTAATGTAAAGTTTATTTGTGGACGGAGGGAGTATAAAAGAACAAAGAAAAATCAACTTCACACATGGGGGCCCTTTGAGGTGGTAGAATTCACTGACATGAATAACTAATAGGTGTGAATGCCAAGTTCTGCAATTTTTCATCAAGTGCTTCTAGGGAATTGGCAACATGTCTAGGAAGAAAAGTATCAACTTTGGGTCTTATT